GGTCATGACCCCCAACGAAGAGCTCAGACTCGGCATATCCAAGGTGATATCACCAGTGTCTGATGCAGTTCAATGGGAAGCCCACACCTCTTGCTGATTATTCTTGCCAAAAAATAATTAACCAGAATCCAGGATACAGCCAATTCTGTAATGTGGACAATTTCAGAAGACAACTGGACTGGACTGTCCAAAATGTCACTGTCATGGGAAGAGAGTGATATGAGAAGACTATTCTAGATAAAATGGGCTAGAGATGTGGAAACCAAGAACAATACATGACCCCTTATTGAGCCCTGGAACTTGGGTGGTAAAAGACATTTTAGGACATTTTAGGGACATTTAAATTGGAACTGTTTGATAATATTCCTGTAGATACTGAATTAACATTACTTCTCCTGGTTGTGCTAATTTTTTTTTGAGACAGGGTCTTGCTATGTAATTCAGGCTGGCCTCAAACTCATGACAATCCTCTTACCTCAGCCTCTTGAGGGCTGCAATTGCAGCCCGCCTCTTGGTTGTGCTAGTTGTTCTATAGCTTCATAACAAAATATCCCATTCCTTGGGAGTTGCAAGCTGAAGAAATTAGGGATAGAGATCGAGATCCATACAGATTTAAAATAGTTCAGAGAAAGAGACGGAAAGAGAGAGAGAGAAGCTGGTAAATCTGAGAGAAGAGTATTGGGCATTCACTGTCCTATTCTTTAAATTTTCAAATAAGCTTGAAAATTTTATGAATGAAATATTAAAGACTAAAAAGAAAGAGGGAGTGACTCAGTGCTGTTTAAGGCCAAGTGAAGACAAAAAATTAACATTGGAGGGCTGGGGATTTAGCTCAGTGGTTTCGCCACCTGCTGCACAAGCACAAGGACCCAAGTTTGATCCCCGGTACCAAAAAAAAAAAAAATTAACATTGGATTTGACGACATTGGCAACCTTAACAAATGGAGACAGCAAAAAGATAGGCAGGGGCCAGGTGGAGAGAGCTGTGCAGGTCTTGCTTGGAGGAAGGGAGTGAAATAATTACATTTGTGTTTCAGAGTCACTGGTCAGGCAGCGTGATGTGGGTGTTAAGAAGGGAAAGTAAGTCAGGAAGATCCTCTCAGCCTCAGCACAACCTAGCCCACTGGCCCCTGAGGAGTGTTGGGGACCTGACGGGACACTGAGGACCTGATGGCACAGAGAGCAATAAGGGCATAAAGAAGGGTTGGTTGCAAAGACTTCGCAGCCCAGTTGCCTCCTCTTAATCCAAGATGGAGCCATTCACCAGGATGCCAGATGGGGATGACAGATGGGCCCTACTTAGGACAGGATGCATCTGAAGTCTTCATGCATTGTACCTTCCTCTGGGGAAAGCAGCAGATCTTATGCTCTGAGACCAACAGCAGTGATGGGAGACCCTGAGAGTCATTTCCACAGAGCTCTCTGCTCCTCTGATGTCTGAGGCAAGCTCAGGGGCCTGGGGGCCATGGCTCTGGGTGTAACAGTATCCTGAAGATGCCTTGGATCATCAAGTCCCCACGCCCTGGGCATCTCTCTCCCCAGAACCCCTCCCAAGTCGTGCTCACTCAGTTCCAGCTTTCCTCAATGGTCCCCCTTCAAGGGAACACGTCAGCATCTGAAATACCATTTTAATGCCTCCCCCCAAGTGCCTGGCATTGCTGTCTGCTGTTCCGTGGTGTCGTGTACATTTATATCTGTTTCTGACTTCCCAAGACATGGTCTATTCCTTGGACGTGGGGAACCCTGTTTATGTCTCAAGGTATTCCCAGCCTTACCTGAAACAAATGATCAATACCCTGGGAAGCAGGGGGGATGAAAGGAGGAGGAGGGAGACGTCATAGTTTACCGCTTCTCATGCTAAAGACACCCTGAAAACTCACGCGATAGGGAACCACTTCTCACGTGTGTGGGAGGGGCCACCCCCTAATTCCTGATCGGAGCCCTGGAAAGAAGTCTCCCCAAAAGCACAACCCACAGTGCTCTTTCCGAAGCTGTTTGCTTTAAGTGACTCACCCAATTAAGAGCATCTACATAACAAAGCCTCACCGGGCTGCAGAGGTCACAGAGACTGTGAAGTGCATCTTTAGTGTGTGTGGCAGAGAAGGTTCACTAATTACCAGTCATTTCCACCCCTCCAGAGCCTGTCAGCCTTGGAGAGGCAGGGGGATAAAAGGATCCCCGAGTTCCCACCCCGTACCAATCACTGCTCCCTCTCCAACGCAGCCCTGCCTTTCAAACCGGTGACTAATAAGTGCCAAGGGTGGGTCTCTTCCCACCTGGCTGAGACGGGGAGAAGGGAGAGGAAAGAAAGAGAAAAGAGGTTGCCTTGGTTCAGGAGCATTAAAAAAAAATTTTTTTTTTTTAGCAACAAGCAGCTGGGAGGTCTGCACCTCCTTCTCTGTTAAACAAGTTGAACAAAACTTGTTCAGTCTCTAGTCTTTTTCTTTCTTTCTTTCTTTCTTTTTTCTGGTACCGGGGATCGAGCTGTGGTCCTTGTGCTTGCTAGGCAGGCTGTGGAACCACTGAGCTAAATCCCTGGCCCCCTGCTCTCTAGTCTTAAAGGCAATAAATGTTTGTAGTAGAAACTTCATATGAGAAAGAAGAAAGTTAAAGTCACCCATGCCCCTACCCCTGAGATGATCTTTGGTCCCATAGATGTCCTAGCAGCCTGCTTTCTAGGCAACGGGTATTTACTGTCATGAGTGCATGTACCTGCTCTTTCATAACTGGCTCTTTAAATTGAGTGATACATCTAACATCCCATGGGTACATGGAAACAAGGTCAGAGCTGGCCTGGAAGCTAGACCAGGCTAGGAGAGAAAGTGTGTGTTGGGCATTGGCACACAAGAAGGAGGCATTTTGAGAATTTCCAAAGCTGCAGGAGGCTGTTTTAAGGCAGTCAAGAGCCCTGGCCTTTGGAACTTGAGCAACTGATTTCCTCTCTGGCAACCTCAGTTTCCTCAGCTGTAAAATGGGCATAACAGTATATGCCTGAAGGATTGTTGTAAGGATTAAGGGATATCCTGGTTGCAACAGGACTCTACAGACATTGGATGTTTTATCACTCATTTTTAATAAGTGTTCATTAATTAGAGCCTGCTTTTTCCTTGGCCTGCTACTAGTCTGTGTTGAGAATGTAAAGAAACCATCTGGTTCAGGCCTGGAGGAGTTTAAGACCTAATTAGAAAGTTGAACACACACACACACACCAATACAAAGTTAAACAATAAGAATTTAGATAGCTAATAAAAGTAATCATCAATTAGTAGATAATTAAGTGCCAGATGAGTGGCACAGACAGCACTCTGGGGGTTCAGAGGTAAGAAAGAACAAGGGGTAGGACTATAACCCCCACTCTGAACACTATTTCATTTCTCACTGACCCTGTGAGGTGGGGACTCTTATCACATCCATTTCACAGAGGAGGAACCAGAAACTTCAGAGAGGTTAAGAACTTTGCCCTAGGTCACAACACCTAATAAATGGGGCAGTGCTGATCTCCGGAACCAAACAGTTGGTCCCCAGAGCCCACTGAGTGCTGAAGCGCTCTGCTCTACTCTGATGAATGGGATTGGGGTGGAGGGCTGCTGGGCCCTGAGCTGGACAGAACAGGAGGGAGCCCTATGATCAAAGACAGGACTGGGGTGTGTTGGTGCCAGGGGAAATACCCAGGCTGGCTGGATGGCTGGTCCTGTGAGACAGAAGGAAGCAAGCTTTGGGGACAAAACAGGAGGAGAGGTGCTAGGGCATGCATGGGATTACGCTTTGGGTAGGAGGCTTGGGGCAATGTGATGTCTTAGTCTAATCAAAGTGGTGTTTGGGAAGGCTGGTCTGGGAGAAGATACCCTAGGAGGATTTTTTGTTTCTTTCTTAATGATTTTTTTTACTAGTACATGTTTGCAATACATGTTTCCATTCCCTTGTATGGAGTTGGTACATGGACATAACACATCTTGATTCCTTTTTTCACCCCCTTTCCCTCCCCCTACCTCCTTCTCCCTTCATCTCTTGATCTCTGTCCCCTTTGAGAAAAATCTATCTCCCTACTAGCTATTATCAATCTTTTATTTTGCTTATTATTTATACTCTAGGATTTTAGATGGGAGATAAGGAGTGAAGCTGGAACAGAAACGTCCTGGAGAAGGCGGTACCATGCCATCTTTCCTAGAAAGCCCGCTTCCTCTTCTTTTCCCCCCAATACCGGGGGTTGAACCCAGGACCTTAAACTGAGCTAAATGTAGCTATTTATTTATTTATTTATTTATTTATTTATTTATTTATTTATTTTTGAGACAGCTAAATCGCTAAATTGCTAAATTCCTCAGGCTGGGCATGAATTTACAATCCTTTCCCTCAGTCTTCCTGCATGCTGGGATTACAGGCCTATGCCACCACATCCAGCTTACCCTGCTTTTTAACTCTGAAATCTTTTGGCCTCGTCTGTATTTGGTTCCCATGACTATTGGCCTCATTTTAGCATGTTTACTAGGTCCTTTCGCACTTGGGTTCTGAAGGAAATGGCTCATTTGTTCATTCTGTTCAAATTTATCCCATAAGGGCTCATGGAACTTATTTCAGAAAGGGAATCCATTGGTCCCCACACCGGGACTAATTATCATTAAAGGAGAAGGAGAAGGAAGATGATGCTGGTGCCATGGCAGATCAGATCCCCACCAACCCTCCAGCCCTGCCATCCCCCAATCCTGGACACCTGCCCTCCCCACATCAGCTAGCTCTGTGGGCCTCAACTGCCACTTCTCACTCCCACACCTCCATCCCTGTTGGGGAGACTGGTCCCCCACTAGGGGATAGCAAAAAGGTCCCTTTTCTTCTGAAGAAGCAGCCAGAGAGATTCAGAAAATGGCAAAGCCTGTAGCTCCTGAAATGAACTTGGTGGCTGTGGACAAAGAACCAGGTAACAGTGGTCCCTGGAGCACCGCAGGCTCAGCAGCAGCAGGGAAGACTGAGAAAGAAAAATCTTTGAAGATGTGTTCATATAACTGATATTTATTGATTATTTTTGATTTCATAGAAGACTCTTTGAGGGATAAAAGTAAAATGGCATCACTTGCACCTTTCATTAGTGCTTTGGAAAAGGTGGGGGAGCAGGAATAGAGACAGAAATAGAGTATAAACAAGCCCAGAGACCGGAAGTATCTTGGCCCAGGTGAGGGATGCAGTCCCTCACCACTGAGTCCAATGCGGTGTGGACTGAAACCTCTCTTCCCCTCAGACATGCACATGAGACCTCGAACACAGGCCACCACCTTCCCTAGGAACTATAGCCCACAGGTGTTTCTGTGCTGTTGATTACGTCCCACAAATGTTTTTTGAGCACTGCAAGGTACCAGACACTTAAGCTCTTAAGCTCTGCTGAGAAGAATCAGAGTTGATTGTCACCTAAGGTGGTCAATCTGGATAATGTCCTTTGATGGCTTAGAAACAGTAATCAAACACATTGAGTGCCATCCAGGCTGTGGGAGGAAGGGCTACAAGGAAAGGGGAGAGATTCTGTACACCCTCAAACCAGATGGGGCTAATTCTTTCCCCACTGGGCTTTGCTAAGAGGTGAAAAAGGCAATGTTGTGAAGCTACCTAGAAGAGTGTCCAAGACTCAGTAGGAATTCGATAAAATCACTAATATGATTCCCTCACCCAATCCTGGCATGACTGATTCTCATTGCTGAATTTTAAGTTTTTCACTTGAAATCATTACCTGGCTGGTTGGGAGGCATTCAGCCAGGCTGGTTGTCATCAGGGCCCCATGCTGGTACCCATCATAGGATCCCGCAGGTACAACTAAGAAGTAATCACCATCGGGCCCATTTAGAAGCCACCCAATGAGCCAGGCTGTGGCAAATCAGTTGATATTGTTGGTTGTGAGTGACAGAAACAAGCTCTGGCTGATTTAAGCAAAAAATGACTTTATCAGAAGGATAGTAGGAAGCTCAGAGAAATCTGTGAGAAGACTGGAGACTCACAACTGGGAAATGGATGGGAACCAGGAGTGGCTGGGAATAGAGGTGCAGTTTGTCATGCCACTAGAAAGGTCCAGTTGGGCCATTGGCTGAGTGGCCACCATTATCACACTGGATATGGCAGCAACCATCTTCCCTCTCTGCCCCACCTAGACAGTCAGTGCCACTGCCTTAGGCTTGGTGAAGTGCAGGAAGGCTTTCCACACCCCAACCTCCTGCTCACCCCTTGAGAGTCAGAGGTCCGGATGGGGTGTCCGCTTGGTGGAACTTCAACTGCCAGGCCAGGAAGAAGGAGGATATAGTCCTTTTAGCTTCTAGAGGCTGAAGCAGGCCCTGATTTGGAACAAAGAAAAAGGGAAATCAGATGCTAGGGAGCCAAAGGAGGAGGAAGAAGAAAACCTTAAATGTCTGCTATCTAACAGTTTACTGGAGGTTAAACGTCTTACCACAGTTCACTGCCAGTAACTTGGCTATTCTAAAATACCAATACCATCCCATAAGAATATCTGCCTCTTGGCCAGGGATGTACCTCAGTGGTGCCGCACCTGCCTGGTGAGTGCAAGGTCCCGAGTTCAATCCCTGGTACTGGAAAAAAAAAAAAAGAATATTCACCTATTTCTATGTCAAAAAATATACCCTAAAGTCACTGAAATAAGTTTCTGAAACTTCTTTGGGACCTCTGTGGTGGTATTTCCATGGTGTAACACCATTGGAAGTACTCTCTAAAGGGGAAGGTTAGGATGTTTAGCTGAAAATATAAAATCCCCAATTTTATTGACTTCAACACATAGGGACTTTATTTTTCTAACAAAGGAGGAGGAGGCTACTCACTGATGGTAGGTCCATGTCCCAGTGACATCAGAATTAAGTCTCTGCTGTTTTCTTGCACTTTTCCTCCTGGTGACAAGATGGCTGCTACAGCACTACATATTCCATCCACATTCATGGAAGAAGGAAGAAAGAGGAAAGAGAAGAGTCAAAACATCTGTGTCATTCCCTTTGATCATCAAAACTAGAGTGTTTCTCAACAGCTGTCCTCCTGCTTTGCCATCCCTTTACTTCTATTTGTTCCTCATAGGCCAAAAGTAGGTTTGATGGCCATCCCTATCTATAAGGATGGTTGGGACAGAAGAAAATAGGTTTGTCATGATTGTCCTATACCAATTCCAAACCACTGCCAGGATCTGTTCCATCACTACCATGTTAAGTGAGGAAGAAGGAAGGAAGTGAATCTTGGACAGGTTATCCAAATCCTACTGTCAGGTTTGGTTATCACACCGTTGAAAGTTGGACAAGCATTGGGAACAAGAGCTTTTAAGAAGGAAAAAGCAGAAAGAGTACAAAAACACAAGCCATATAAGGAAAACAAAAAAATTTGATTGGGCTGATGTCTAGGCAATTAAATTTTTGGTAATCTACCCTATAGAAAAAGTCACTTTTTTTGGCAAAGATACAGACACAAAAAATTTCATTAGAAAAAAAACTCTGATAACTCATATGGCCATTAGTTGAGGAATGATTGAATAAGTGTAGTGTACATATTTTATGGAATATTTACAGCTTAAAAGTGAGTAAATTAGCTCTGCATCTATAACCCACATATTATCAAAAATAAATGAAGGTGGGGCCAGGGATTTAGCTCAGTGGCCACCTGCCTCACAACCACAAGGTCCCGAGTTTGATCCCCGGTACCAAATAAATAAATAAATAAATAAGTGAAGGTGTATAGTGATATATGTCTGTAATTCAAGCTAATTGGGAGGTTGAGACAGGAAGATCACAAGTTCAAGCCTAATCTGGGTAACTTAGTGAGACCCTGACTCAAAATTTTAAAATTTTTTAAATGGTGGTATATGGCCTATTGTCTCAGCACATGGGTGGCTAAAGCAGGAAGACCACACTGAGCTACATAGCAAGATCCTGTGAAAGAAAGAAAGAAAGAAAGAAAGAAAGAAAGAAAGAAAGAAAGAAAGAAAGAAAGAGAGAGAGAGGAAGAAAGAGAGAAAGAAAGAGAGAGAAAGGAAGAAAAAGAGAGAAAGGAAGAAAGGAAGGAAGAAAGAAGAGAAAAGAGACTTCCACGGCCCCCAATACTTTTTAGTATGAACAAGAAATAATATAATAGCTCCATAGATTTCAGTGTACTTTGTACAACACTGGTAAGTATGGAAAAAGGATAGAAATTATAGGTTGGGCTGTTAAAACTGGATGGTTCAGGTAACTGGGTAGGAAATGGAGAGGAGGTGGGGGAGATCATGAACATTTTTCCTTCTGTATCTTTGAGTACCTTCATGGTTGAGGCGAATATGTTTCTTTGGTGATTTTGGAAAGCCACTAAAAGCTTTTTTTGTTTGTTTGGTTTTGGTTTTTTCTCTTTTTTTTTTTTTTTTGGTACTGGAGATGGAACTCGGGACTTTGTGCTTTCGAGGCAGGCAGCAGAACCACTGAGCTAAATCCCTGGCCCCCACTAAAAGCTTTTTAAAAGTACTTTGGAACTAGATTCTGAAGAGCCAGATGTAACATATGGATGATGGGAAGCCACTGAAGGTTGCTGAGCAAGGGAATGATGTAGTCAGGAAAATTAACCATTCAGGAGCTTGTGCAATGGATTAGAAGGGAGAGACGCTGAGGATGGGGAAAACATTTAGAAAGTTCTTGTAGCAGCACCTCAGTCCGGAGTTCATAAGAACTCAACTGTGATCACAATAATATGTGCAGGGGGCAGAAGAAAGAGGGCCCAGGCTAGAGTTTTGGGGTATATGTGTTCGTGTGTTGGGAAGAAAGGTAGTGAGGAGACATGAGTTTCTATTAAATCATGTCAACCTGTATATCTTACACTTTGAAAGCCTGAATAAGTGACTGTAAAACCATAGATATTTCTCTTCTCCAATCTCCTCCAGCATCCACTTATTTGACATTTACAATATAGAGACAAAATAACCATTATCTTTTCATGAGATTTGTGTTATCTCTCCCTTTAAATTGAAAACACCTTGTGATATGAGACCATAGAGAATACTTATTGGTGACCCTCAAAAATGCAGTGAATCCCAAATGTAATCATTCACTCATTCAGCATAGTTGATACATAAATGCTCTTTCCTCACTCATTCCTTAAAGGAACAATCCCAGTCCCTGCCCCTCTGGGAGTTTAGCATTCAGGAAGGGGGACAGACTGTCAACAAGAAGTTCTGATATGGCTGAGGGTTACATGAGTGAGCCATGTGAAGAGGAGGAGGAAGGTCATCCCTGAAAAGAAAAGCATTAGCAAAATCCTTGCAATGGAAAGTAGTAGGGTACATTTGAGCAACCAAAAGGAAGCCACGGATAGCAGGGGCCCAGGGGAGGAGGAAGAGGAAGAGAAGACAAAGGCAAACCAAGACCCACCAGCCTTAGGATGCTGGCTCAACTGCATCCCAAGGCTAAAACCCAGATGCTTCTTAGTAGAGAAACAAAGCCTGGTTTGCTTTTTTAAGAAAGAGCACCCCGGGGCTGGGGATTTAGCTCAGGGGTTCCACTGCCTGCCTCAAAAGCGCAACGTCCAGAGTTCTATCCCCCATACCGAAAGAAAAAAAAAAAAAAAAAAGAGCACACTGGCTTCAGGTGGGACTGCAGGGAAATACGTGACGCTTCTCTCCCAGTAAGCTGGGAGTTGGCTGGCGGCTGGGTGAGCCCATTCCACGGTGCGGTCAACAGTCTAGTCCTACCCTCACTCCCCTCAGCAGGGAAGTGAGAGCCTCAGAAGGCCCCTCCGGAGTCATGGCCTGGGGTGCTGGAGATCCGACGGAAAGAAAGAGGATAGAGGTGGGATGAGGATAAGGCAAGGCCAATTCCTTCTCTCTGTGCCTCGATTTCCTTATCTACAACCCAGAACATTCCTGGTACCCACCTCGGATTGCTGCGGCATAATTCCAAGTTCTTAGATATTGGTTGGCACAACATGAACAATCAAAAAGTGTTAGCTTTAGGTTTTGTTCTTCCTCAAAGACAAGTAAGCGCCCACTGTCTTCCTGCCTGACCCCGGGGGGACATCTGGTTGGATCCCAGAGGAAGACTGGGAACCCCTGGGCCAGACTGGTCTCAGGACCACCAAATGACCAAAGTTTGAACAAATCTCACATGCGTGTTTGGACTTAGATTGCTAGTGTGTAAGTGCTTCTTTTCTTAGGATTTAAAAAGGAAGAACCTCTGGGCAGGAAAAAGGGAGCTACCCACCGCCCTCCCCAAGCAACCTGGATTTCTGCCTCAGGCCTCTGGCTGGGATTTAGGAGCCTTAGTCTGGGCCGCAGGGGCGGAGCCTGGCGAGCAGGGGGCGGGGAGGCGCGGTGGGGAGGCGGGGCCTGCACGTCAGTCCGTAGCCCCACCTCCAGCGGAAGTGCTGCTGGGCCCGCCCCTCCTTCCCCAGCCCTGTTCCCTTAGTCCCTCCCCGGGCCGGATCTCCCCAGTGAAATTCGGCTCCGCTAGCCCGTTCGGTCGGGGCCCCAGCATCGGGTCCACACAGACGCACCTGGGCGCCTCTGGCTCTCTCGGGTGTTGCTCTCTGACCCACCCACTCTCCCGCCCTCCCTACCATATCTTTGTTATCTGCGCGGCCGCAGGCGCGGCTGGGGACCCCACAGGTAAAGTCTTGGCAAGTAAGGGCGCAGGTGTAGGCGCTTCCCGGGCTGGATGACTGGGGAGAAGCGACGGCTTGGGCCTGGCTTTTTCCCAATGCGATTATTCTGACAGTAGGGGGTCCGGGAGGGTTGATGCCGACCCTGGCAGCGCTGCTGTGCACTGGGGGAAAGAAGGAGCGGGACTGAAGCCCTGGGGCTGGGGGGCCGGGTCCTCTGTGTCCCCGCGTCTGGCGCAGTCTCCGTGGTGCCTGGGAGATGGTGAGGCGGTGGGGTGGGGCGGATGGGGCGGTGGCACCCGAGGATTAGCCCCCCACCTACCCCCTGCGGTGACCGGTTTCTCACAGCCGCCTGGTCCGGGTGCGCAGAATCCCAGGTTTGCAGAATGAAAATCAATAAAATCGATGCAATAGCAAAGAACATGAAAGATGTTGGGTTGTGTTTGTTAAATTCTTTTTTTTTTTTTATTCCCACTTTCTTCTTGGAAAAGGTGGCTTCAGTCTGGATCCAGTCCTCGGAGAGGGACCCAAAATATCTCCTGGTGTAGAGGCAGGAGACCGGGGCTAGTCTTGCACCCCAAACCGCGCAACAACACCCCTCTCCCCACCGTGGCGGCGCGCTGTCGCGACAGGAGAGAAGCCCCAGGGCGCGCTCAGCTTCCAAACACGGCTTTGCCCCGCGCTCCATCCTCTGGCCTTTAGGGAGATGTCCCCCCTCCACCGATATTTCCCCGGTTCACCACCCCCACGCCCCGGGGGCCGCGCCTTCTCCCCTCCCCCGCGCTCTCTGGCGCTTTAAATAATGATATTTGCATGCAAGGAGCGATTCATAAATATGTCAGGGCCGGTGAAATATAGGCAACATTTCAAACTTTCTATTTAAAAAACATGAATTATGGCCGCGGAAAATGTGTTCCCATTTAAAGGCGATACGAAGTATTTGGTGTCTCGTCCCCGGGCCCATCCATCACGCAGACAATAAAGAGAGTTTTTCGCCCTGACACCCACGATTTATGGGCGCCCTTCTCTGCCCCCATCACTCACCCGCCGCGGCCAGCCCGGCGACAGGCCCCGCGGCGAGACGAGCAGCCGCCCCCGCGCCAGTCCGCGCGCGCAATTTTCCACCTTCGCCGGGCTCCCCAAATCCGCAGCTCCCGGGGAAAAGTGCCGGCTGCCCCGAGCTGGGCGATCGGCTCTGAGCGTCGGAATAGCCAAGTGGGAACCCCACTCACCCTCCCACCCCGTGCCAACCTCTCCCAGCGCTGGGCCGAGCCGGCCCCTCTGTGTCCAGGCCTTGTCCGAGGATGGCAGCGCAGAGCTGCAAGTTTGCAGCTCAGGCGGTGGGTGGTTATTTAACCTCTTGTTCGAGGCGAGAGCAGAGAACTGGCCAGGGAGCTGCCCAGCCTGATTCCTGATTCTGTCCCAAGGAAGGAACAGGTCCTAAGGGTTTTTTTGACTTTAATACGGTGACGCTTTTGAGGAAAGCTTTCTACAACTTTTCCAAAGCCAGCCCCCCTCCCGTTGCCCCCTAGCGAGATCCATGCTGGGTGTCCGTGGCAACTTGGAAACTTTTTCTTTCTTTCTTTTTACCATCCAGAGCCGAAGAATTGTGAAGAAATAGGAGTGGAGTGGAGGGGTTCCCAAGAGTTTTCACCTTGGGCCAGGCTTGGGCACCCGGTTGCCCTCTTCCAGCCCACCCCACCCGAGAGCACTCACACAAGCCTGCTGTCTTCCCAAAGCTGTCAACAATCTCGGTTGAAAACTTGCATCGAGGAAAGTTCCGGCTACGCCTGCAGTAGAGTTTCCTTTCAGTTTTCGCTGCGGGCGGGCGGACTTGGCCTGGCTCGTTCCCCAGGCGTTAAGCAAAGTAAGGGCGCCCAGACACTGCTGGGCAGTGAGAGCCCGCTAGACCTGAGGGCACTGTTGGTGCATCCGACCTCAGAGATCAGGCCCGCCGCACCTGTACACTGGAGCCACCCCGCGCCCCCGGCTGGGCCGAGGTGTAACGTACAGTACTTGCCAGTGGAGAGCTGGTTCTGCTGGATGCCTGAGAGTGGGCTTTATTCGGATAAATTCAGTGCAAACGACTGCCAGAGAAATCCGTCGATTCTAAAAATGACAAGGTTGAATTTATTAGATGGAGATTCACGTGTAAGTGCAGGGAGATAAAAAATTCTACAAACAGCCCCACATCCAATTCGAATACTACTGATCACTTCTGGCTTCAAGGGCATCTAACATAACATATCTGAATACTTAGATTTACAGAAGCATATAAAATATTCTTAAATTCCCAGTGTATGCACAGATAAGTAAGTTGGAAAAATTCTAGGGCAAGTATCTTTTTACAGCCCCTGCTTGTGTGTCATCTGGGCCTGAGATAGAACTTAATGTCCGAATAACTACCCAGTGGATATTTCCTATAGATAGTTGAAGGGCAAAGTATCTACAGCTCCTTAGATATCTGCAGCATGGCAGAGATGAAATACATACAGTTAAGAAAAGCAAACTCGCAGAAAAATGAGCCACTGTGTCAATATAATATTTCTGGGTATGGAAATAAATATTCCTACAAGGTCAGCTGTGGACAGTGAAATAAAACAGAGAGGCTTTTAGGAACCTTGCGTATGGGACACCAGTTCTGCTGCTCAGTACCCCGAGCAGGCTGAGGTGGACACTATTCAGCGGTGATCTTGAACCCGGGTCTGATGGTGGGACAGACTCGGCCTGGACTCTCAACACTGCTGCACTTTGGGGGTTCTCCTAGATGCAGGCCAGAGAAAGACCTGGCATTTAAGTAGCAGGGCCTGGGGTCCCGTGAGCAGCCTTTCCTTCCCAGACACTGCAGCCAGCCCTCATCAGTCCTGGCTCCTGTGGCTTTGGCAGCGGGAGTTCAGAACTATGGATTTGGAGGAGGAGCGCAGAAAAGGGCTGGTCACGCTTGATCCCAAGACGTTCCAAAGCCAGAAGTCAGAGGCCAAGGGGAGGAAGGCCACAATTTTCCTGCGTGTGCAGAACCCAGACCCCAGCCGACCCTCCAGGCATCAATGAGAGGCCACCTAAACAGTTATCGGGATGTATTTACTTATGAAACCTTAGGCACCTCCTAGCATGCCCAGTGCTAAAGTCCCTGTGCCCTGCGGGTCTCCTCCATATATTTCCAAAGCTCAAGGAATGCCAATTGCGAGTTGTAACTGTGAAATTCCAAGACCAAATTCTAATTCCAGAACAGGGCGCTTGCAACCGTCCACCCATCGAACTGCCTGTGCCCGCACGCCCTCGCTCTCCCAATTCCCCTTCGAAATCTTGCAACCTTTAAACATGGACTAGGAGCCCTGCTCAGGAAGAAATTGGGGAGGACTTTGTCATGAAATCCTGAGAATTGCACACTTCCGAGGCAACCCTGCCGCAGGAGAAATAACCTCGGCCGAGAATGCTCTAGGTACGGTGCAGACAGCGTCGCTGTGTAGGAGGTGGTTTACACGGTATACCAAAGAAGGTGGTACAGGAATGTTTCCTGCAAATAGGGAAGGGGGGAAAGGAAAAGGAAATGAAGTGGAACAGAAAGGAGAGGGAAAAGGCTTAGTGTAGGAGAGCCTAGAAGAGCGCAGGCCAAGGCCAGGTCTTCAGGACCAAGCCAGGCCACCGCTCTCGCACCTTTGGAGCCTCCCAGACCCCGAGAAAAGGCCGGGGCTGCGCGGGATGGTCCCCTACGGCCCGGAGAATCCGGGCCCCGCTCCTCGTGGAGTAAGGCGGGTCCTGTCCCTGGGCCTTCGAGCGCTCTTTCTCTCGTCCCTCCCCGGGGACTGCAAGGCGGAACCGGACGAGGGTGGGGAGGTCCCTGGGGGTGCGCGCCAGTCCGGGACTGTTTGGGTGCTCTGGGCCAGGCTTTCCAGCTCGCCGGGCCTGACCTGTCAGGCGGATTATCTTCGAGGGAGATTAATAGGGGAGGCGGGCTGCAATAATAATCGTTTTGTTTGATGTGACAACTCTGATAGGCGTTGATTTACTTACAAACTGATAGGCTTTTAATTGAGCGCCTCCGCCGAGCCCGAGATGAAAGGAAAGCGGCGGTGAAAGGCGGCCCGCCTGCCCTCCGGCCTCAATACTGATTAGCCATCTCGACAGTGAATAGTTCAAGGCATTTTCAAACTTTTTTCCTCAGCTCTCTCCCCTTCCTTCTCCTCCTCCCACCTCCTTCCTCAAATATCTGCCATACTCACTCCTTTTTTAGAGAAAACAAATCATTTCCATTGTGTGCAAATAAAACCCGCAGGATACCCAAGCCAGCCGCCGCTGGGGGTTGGAGGCATTAGGCCCAGCGGAGTAATTAATAACCCCCACCACCCGGGCCGCGCTCGACCCTCGGGGATTCGGCCTCCCGCACGAGGTGCGCAGGCTCGCACGCTGCACCTCCCAAGAGCCCGGGTCGTGCAGGCCCCCAGGCGCCCCCGTGCGCTCGGACCTTTGCAGTCGAGTTTGGAGCAGAGCGAACGCGCGCGACCTGCGACCTGCGCCCACGAAGCACAGCGCAGACTCGCGAGCGAATGCAGCTGCCCTCGAGGGCGCAGGAGCCGAGCCACTCCAAGGCTCCCTCCGGCTTGGGTGTTGGGGTGGGGGGGGGGGGGGGCTCCCTTGAGCTGCCCGACACTGTAAGAAAGCTGCTGGAACGAGAGGAAAGGGGGAAACTGCGCCCGGAGCCTGGACCAGAGAGTGGGGAAAGACGCACCGGCCTGAAGTTACCTCCACGTCTGTCCGCAGCCCCAGCATTCGGGGCCTTTTGTGGAGAACGCGGCGACACGCGGCTCGAGGCCGCGCTCGAGACACCGCGAGCATTCCCTGGGGCCCGAATTGACAACTAGACAGCCAAGCACTCGGTGACACAGCCAGACACTAACACCCTCAGGACAAGAGCGGCGTCGCAGAGACAGCTCGGGACTGTCCGCCCTCGGAAACCAGAGTCGGCGACTCGCTCTCCAAAGATCTTCAGACAACCTCAGCCTGGCGGGTGATCGCGCCACCATCTCGCCAACTTACCTTCCTTGGTGGCCGCGCTGGGACCCTATCAGCCCCCTTGAATGAACGCAGGTGTGTCCTTACACACACACACACACACACACCTCCTCACTCCCTCCTATCTCCTCTCCAAATTAGCTGTAGTCAAGTTACCATCCCATGAAGTTTACCAACCTAAAGAATCAAGGGAGAAAATTAAAAAGCGAAAAAAAAACTGCCTAGGAGAAAATTCTAAAACTCACCCCACAAAGTTCTCGGTACCCTTGCGGAGTGGGAGACAGACAGAAGGGGGAAGTGAGTGGGGTGGCTCGAGGGGAAGGGACGAGCACGCGAGGGCAGGTCCTAGTCCGGACCCCCGCGCGTACTCGGCTCCCCTCCGGGTGCGCCCCGGTCGGAACCCGGCCTCCAGCCTCGGTCCCCGCCCTGCGCGGTACAGACCGACTCCAGGCTCCCAGCGCTCCCAGCCCCACCATTTATCAAAAGGACTTGACAACAAAAGAAGAGCCGGGCGGAAAAGCGGGGGAGGGGTGATACAAAGTCTTCCAAGTCCTTCGGAGGAAGGAGGTGTGTCCTTCCCTCACCCTCTTCCAGTTTCTGCGAGTTTCTGGAGATGACCCTCGAACTCTCTCTGGGCGCTGCGGGAGCCCAGAGCCCTGAGAGAGCGGGCGCAGACACACATACACCTTCACGCACACGGTGCGCCCAGGGCCAGGTACCCCGCGGCACGCACAGCGCCTCCCTCTTCTTCCCAGGCGGTCGGAGAGACGGTGCAAATCGAGGGGAACGCGGCAGTCCCGCTCCGATTCCCAGGAAGAACCTGCGTTCCCACCGGCCGCCGCCCCCTCCCTCTCCCGCTCCTTCCCTCTGCTTTCCTCGGGCAGGGCAGTCCCGGCTCGGTGTCCTTGTAACTCCCGAGCCAGCATCCCAGGGCTGCGAGGACGGCGCGGGTGGGCACCGGGGGAGGGCGACAGACCGGGGAAGAGTGAGCTTAAGGCTTGTTTTCCCCGCACATCCACGGCCAAGCCTCTGTCCCCCGCAGCCTTGCAGCGCTAGCTGCGACCCCAGGGGATCAAGAATCCCCTTGGTTACCCCACCATGAACCTCCAGGACTCGAGGTTACGTTGGGGAATAGGCCGTTGGAAAGACTCCGAGTGTGGGGTCGGGGCACTAAGGAAGGCGGTGTCCGCGGCCGGGGGCACAGCCTGACACTCCCGTGGGGTTACCCCGGGAAGGCGGGAAATCTCCCGTGTTAGACGTCGCCGTCGCCGGTCTCGGATACCCAGAGCCGCTCAACTGCGGCATCCTCCGAGGTGGACCCTGCATCTGTCCCTTCTCCACCGAGAAAGGAAGCGCACACCCCAGGCCTGCGCGCCCTTCTCTGCGCCCTGGGCGCACCTGCGCGCTTTACTCTCACTGTTCATTTTCCTGACACCGAGCGCCTCTTTCCCCTTCTTTCATTCTTTTTCTTAGCTCCCCCCCCCAGGCGGCTCCTCTTTCTCCCTCCTCCATTTCCCCCTAGGTCTCTTCCTTCCTCTCTGTCTCTCTCTCCCTCTCCCTTTTTCCCTTCAAGTCGCACCCGCCTTGTAATCAGCAACAAAAGCTGACATAAATCACGGTCAGATTGACAAGAGCTGACAAATAACTGATTGATTGCGGTCGAGGCACATTGACAATTGATGGAGGGGTGGAGATACCCAAAGAACCGGTGGTGGGGGTGGCAGGGGAGAGTAAGAATGGGGGGAGGCTGAGTGTGAAACAGAGGAAACATGTGACCCCTGCTTCTGCCCCAATCTGCTCGTCCCGGGGCATCACGTGGCCAGAAAGGGCGGAGAGCCGGGTGCACGTCGCCAGGATGAGCCGCCACCGCCTCCGCTGCCCTTCTAGCTTCTGGTTTCTCCTCCGCGGAATCTCAGGAAATCAAAGCGGGCGGGCGGACTTCCTCCAGCACCCGCTCTACACCTTTCCTTTCCCTAGCGGCCGCGCCGCGCAAGATCTCAATTACGGGAAAGAACATCTGGAGTGCCGGCCCCGTGTGTGCCCCGGTAGCTGACAATCTGAGTTGTATCCACAGTTCCGCGAGTACTTCTTCGGGACACCTCCCGCAGTCTATTCAGCGCAAGCAACCCCCCCCCCCCCCCCGCCCCCCCCCACCCCCCACACCTCCAAAAGAAGGTTTCGGTTTATTTTCGAGCTGGGAAAAGGACGAACGAGAAGGAGAGGGGAAAAAAGGGAGGCGGCGGATGACAACCGTAGAATAAATGTCCATCTCGTCCTCGGCGCGAGAACGAGGGAGGGGACCCGCAGGGGGCGGCGGAGAGAGAGAGCTGCCCATTAAAACCAGCTCTGAGAGTCCTGGCGGAGGCGGCGGCGGCGGCGGCGGCGGCGCGGGACGCGTCACATCCCCTTGACCCTCCAATCACCTCGGGCTCCCATTTGATTGGAAGGCGGCAAAGGCTTTAATCTCCCCCACGGTGCAGCTGCTTTTGAAGTGAGTTTCCTCGCCAGAGCCCGGGCTGGACAGGCAGCGGCTCACATCGCAGAGCGCAGCGCCGGCTCTGGGCGCGAGCGCGCAGCGCAGGGGCGCAGCGCCAGGCGGACCCCGCGCGCTGCCCGCCACTCCCGCAGTCCCTCCGGCCACTCCGGCCTGGCCACGGCTCCCCCGCCGGCCACCCAGGATTATTCGCTTCTGGCTTCGGGCGCCGAGGAGGCGCGCTGGGCGCTGGTGGCCGCCTCGCCGGCCCTTTCTCCTCCTCCTGCCGCTGCTCCTGCACCCCGGGCGAGCGCGCAGCCCCGATCCCGCCCCGCGCCTCCCCCCGCTGCTCCCATGCGCGCGGGTGGGTCATGAGCACAGCGCCCTCGCTTTCTGCCCTAAGAAGCAGTAAGCACAGCGGCGGCGGCGGCGGCGCGGACCCTGCCTGGACCAGCAGCGCGCTCTCTGGAAATAGCTCCGGCCCCGGCCCAGGCCCGTCCCCGGCCGGCAGCACCAAGCCTTTTGTGCACGCCGTGCCCCCCTCTGACCCACTCCGCCAGGCCAACCGCCTGCCCATCAAGGTGCTGAAGATGCTGACGGCTCGGACTGGCCACATTTTGCACCCCGAGTACCTGCAGCCCCTGCCCTCCACGCCCGTCAGCCCCATCGAGGTAAGGCTCCTCTCCAAGGGTCAGGCCGGGGCCACCACCCCGGCTGCCTCCCTGCGGGGTTCCTTTCTGCTGGGATCGGAGGAGGGTGGGGGTGGGGTATCGGAGTGATTCAGCTCCGGGATGGGGGAAGAGGACAGTGCTTCCGCACCTCAAAACTAGGGCGGAAAGGTGGAACGGGGTGTGAATGCGAGGGGGCACGGCGGCCCAAACTTGTTTCTCTTTTTAGTATTAAAGCCCCTACCCCAAACCAAGCCCCCACCTACTGAGCCCCGAAGGTGGCGGACGGGGCCTGAAATACGGTCCCAAACTCACCTACCTCAGGCTCCCCAAGAAGCTAGAATGTGTTCACGGAGGCCCCGGCCGCCCAAGCCCTTGCTCTGTAGAACCAAGCAGCGTATGCTGGGAGGGGGTATAGTTCTAGGGGGTTCAGCTCTAGGAGCTGAAAACCAAAATATTTTGAGATCCCCCCCTTTCCCAAATCCAATTAGAGCTCGGAAAATGCAGGCAGGACCCAGCGGGGGGGGGGTCTCCCAAGGGCGAGAATCTTCGCTGGTGGGTATGGGGGGGGGGGTGCTGCCTCGGGTTGCGCCCAAGGGCTGCGATGCTCTTCGAGGACTATCGCGGAGGGGTCTTAAACCCTAAAAGCCAGAATCTAAAGGGTTTCCCCTCTTTCTCTGTGTGACCCTCCTCCCCCGTCTGACCCTGCAGCTCGATGCCAAGAAGAGCCCACTGGCCCTGCTGGCGCAAACATGTTCGCAGATCGGGAAGCCCGACCCTTCGCCCTCCTCTAAACTCTCCTCGGTCGCCTCCAACGGGGGCGGCGCGGGTGGTGCAGGCGGCGGCGCTGGGGGAGACAAGGATGCCAAATCGGGCCCCCTGAAGCTGAGCGACATTGGCGTGGAGGACAAGTCAAGTTTCAAGCCGTACTCCAAACCCGGTTCGGATAAGAAGGAGCCGGGAGGCGGCGCGGGAGGCGGCGGCGGCGGGGGCGGCGGCGGGGGTGTTTCGGCGGAGAAGTCCGGATTCCGGGTACCGAGCGCCACCTGCCAGCCATTCACGCCCAGGACAGGCAGCCCGAGCTCCAGCGCCTCGGCCTGCTCGCCGGGAGGCATGCTGCCCTCAGCCGGGGGCGGCCCGGAAGGCAAGGACGACAAGAAAGACCCCGATGTGGGCGGCGGCAGCGGCGGCAAGGGCGCAGGGGGCGCCCCGGCCGAAGGGGGATCTGCGGGGCTGGCGCACGGCCGGATTAGCTGCGGCGGCGGCATCAACGTGGACGTGAACCAGCACCCGGACGGGGCCCCGGGGGGCAAGGCGCTGGTCTCGGACTGCGGAGGCTCCTCCGGCTCCAGCTCAGGCTCCGGCCCGAGCGCGCCCACCTCCTCCTCGGTGCTGGGCTCGGGGCTGGTGGCCCCCGTGTCTCCCTACAAGCCAGGCCAGACAGTGTTTCCTCTGCCTCCCGCGGGCATGACCTACCCGGGCAGCCTGGCCGGGGCCTACGCCGGGTACCCGCCCCAGTTCCTGCCCCACGGCGTGGCACTGGACCCCACCAAGCCCGGCAGCCTGGTGGGCGCTCAGCTGGCGGCGGCGGCGGCCGGCTCTCTTGGCTGCAGCAAGCCTGCAGGCTCCAGCCCCCTGGCCGGGGCGTCGCCGCCGTCCGTGATGACGGCCAGCTTGTGCCGGGACCCGTACTGCCTAAGCTACCACTGCGCCAGCCACCTGGCCGGGGCGGCAGCCGCCAGCGCTTCTTGCGCGCACGACCCCGCGGCCGCGGCGGCCGCGCTCAAGTCCGGATACCCACTGGTGTACCCCACGCACCCGCTGCACGGCGTGCACTCCTCGCTCACTGCCGCCGCCGCCGCGGGCGCCACCCCGCCCTCCCTGGCCGGCCACCCCCTCTACCCCTACGGCTTCATGCTCCCCAACGACCCGCTCCCCCACATCTGCAACTGGGTGTCGGCCAACGGGCCGTGCGACAAGCGCTTCGCCACGTCCGAAGAGCTACTGAGCCACTTGCGGACCCATACGGCCTTCCCCGGGACAGACAAACTGCTGTCGGGCTACCCCAGCTCGTCCTCTCTGGCCAGCGCCGCCGCGGCTGCCATGGCTTGCCACATGCACATCCCCACGTCGGGCGCACCAGGCAGCCCGGGGACCCTGGCGCTGCGCAGCCCCCACCACGCGCTGGGACTCAGCAGCCGTTACCACCCCTACTCCAAGAGCCCGCTCCCCACACCCGGCGCCCCGGTGCCAGTGCCCGCCGCCACCGGACCCTACTACTCCCCCTATGCCCTCTACGGACAGAGACTGACCACCGCCTCGGCGCTGGGGTACCAGTGAGGGCGGCACGGGCGGCCCTCGAGGGACAGAAAGGAGCGAGGGGGAGGGGAGGAGTCGCGGGAGGGCGGGATCGCAGAAGAGGCTACTGACTCCCGCGCGTGGGAAGACCGGGCCACGGAAGGAAAAATGTATACCGCATCTATTACAACAGCAGCGACCGAGACCCGGTGGGAAAGTCCCCTCTCCCCCACCTCTCACCTCCCCACCCAAACTTTATAAAAGTTGGAAAAATATCATTTGACTTTTTATAGAAAAAGAAGGAAAAAAATTGAGAAAGTGTTCACCCCAGGACTTCATCGGTGAACACTGGTATTTATTTATGTTAGCTCCAAGCGGACGCGTGGTTCAAAAGTGCATTATTTAGTTTGAGCTCCGTAGGTAAAGAGGAGGGAGAAAAAAATTTTTTAACTTGAGGGTAAAAATGTGGAAAACAAACCCTCCTATCCCTTGTAGATTATAAATAAAAAAAGCGCCACAGAACTAGAGGTCTTCTCTTTAATGTTACTTTAAAATTGCTATGATTGTATCGTACGTTCTTATTTAATGTCTGA